CATTGGTATTGGGAAATCCCAATAATGAAGCTCCTACCAATGCAGATTGACACCTGCTCTGTAGCTTATAGAGAGTTGCCTGATGCACTGAGGTAAGGTGGTTTAGCCGGAGTCACCAAGAGAGTAGACTTCTGAAGCAGGACTTAAAGGCTGGCATCAGTATTACTTACATACAGTTCCTGGCAAAAAGTTCAATTTGCCTGTCTTGTAGGTCAGGCTAGTCTAATGTTTCAGGTCTGGGATTGGAAGGAAATGAGGTGTGTACATCATCTAGCAATTAATAAAAGGAGGCTTAATTAGCCATATAATGGAAAGGATACTCAGCAAGGATAGAGCACTGGTTCAGGTAGATGTGACCCACCTCATTTCTATCAAGAAAATGGTTTGCTGAGCAGGATATGAGGTGACTCTCATGGCAATTTGTCACATGTGTTAAGTTTTGAGTCCATGTTCCCTTGGACACTAAATATACTAGTGGGAGATTGTCACACATTTGTGGGGTCGGGGAGTAATGGCAGTAAAGGGAAGAGAGGAAATTTTTTTTAACCAACTTGATCTTTTTTTAACCAATACAATCTAAGTAAACATCCCTTTCAAACAGCTCATTGAGTTTAGCTGACTAATTTTATCAACTGACAATCATAGTGGGAAGCACAATGTGGGGGAGGGGGGTGGCTCATGAGCTATAATATCTCTAAAACCCCAAAGAAAGATTTAGTAGCATATCATTGGGCACCTGATCTATCAGTGCAAATAGGAGTTGTTAAAGTAAGTTGAGATTTTGCTACATTATCTTTGCTAATTTGATGGGTATAAGATAAAATCACAGAACTGACTTAATTTGCATATCTCTTAATGATTTGGAGCAATCTTTCATATGACTAGAAATAATTTATATTGTTTTTGTACTATTTATTCTTTGATTACTTTTCTATTGAGGGGGGTGGGTACTTGGTCTTAATGTTTGTGTGAATTCCCTTTATCTTGGATATCAGATTTTAGTCAGAGATTAGTGTAGAGATTATTTTCCCAAGTGATAGTTTCTCTTTTTACTTTTTCTTAGTTTTCCTGGACAGTTTTACTTTTGTTCTTTTACATGAATTTTGTTATATTTTGTCTAGTTATATAAATGTGTTTGGTATTTTAATATATATCGTTGCATTTCTAAGGCTTTGCTGGGGAGGACAGATTTCAGCAACCTGGCTGAAAGAATGTTGGTTGAGTCAGACAACTGTGTTCTAGTTCCTGCCCTGAAGCTAACTTTGAGTCTTTGTTTCCTTCTTTGTAAAAATAAGGAGGTTGGACAACAGAGTGTCTTTCAGCTCCAACAGTCCGTGTATCCGTGGGATTTGTCACTTAGCCTCTCCGATGCCTCAGTTCCCATCTCTGTAACATCAAGGAGTTGAATGGGATGATCTCTAAGGTCCCTTCCAGTTAGATTTTTTTCACCTCTCTTCTCTAAAAGTACCTAAGTATTTTCATCCTCACATCCTTACTCAGGCTTCTTGGATGCCAGTTATAAACAACTTACCTTACTTAGCACCTAGACAAGAATAATTCATTTAAAAAGTTACAAGAAGTTTCCTCGGGATGTAGGTGATTATGTATAGGCTTGGTATCTGTGTCCCTCTTTTCTCTTCTCCTCTCTCCTAAAAGGCTGCCTTTCAGACTCTTGTCCTAGGTATAGTTTATGGTGTTTGCCCCAGACGTAAAAATTCCTAGTTGTGACTGAATTAGAATGTAAGTTCCCCAAGGGCAAGGACTATGTCTTATCGAAATTTGTATCTCTTCCAGTGCCTAGTAAGGTGCTGAATTTATTTTTTCTGGTGATCAGCATCATGGTCAACAGTCTATATAGTTAATAGAATAAATCTTCCCTTTTTGAAAACTGAGACATGTCTTTCTCTAGTCTTTTGATATCTCTTCTATTCAACATAGTTCCTCAAAAGTCACTTGTAGTTGCAGAACAGTAGAACTGGACACAGAGTCCAAGTTTGAGTCTTAGCTCTGACAATCATCACGGAATCTTGGGCAAGTCATTTCATCTCTGATGGAAAGTCTTCTGCATTTATAAAATGGAAATAGCAATACTTACACAACATACTTTAGAGGCCTGTTGTTTGGAGAGTATATATATATATATATATATATATATATATATATATATATATATATATATATATAGCACTCTCCTTGATATTCTCTTTTCTCTGTTTTTTTTTTTGTTTTTTTTTTTAGGCAGTTGGGGTTAAGTGACTTGCCCAGGGTCACACAGCTAGTACGTGTCAAGTGTTTAGTCTGAGGCCAGATTTGAACTCAGGTCCTCCTGACTTCAGGGCCAGCACTCTATCCACTGCACCACCTAGCTGCTTCTTTCTGTGTTTTAAGGACACTGCTCTCTCTAGGTTCTCTCTCTACCTATGAGACAGCTTTTCTCAGTCTCCTTTGCTGGATCTGCATCCAGATCATGTATCGCTCAGGGTTCTGTCCTGGGCCCTCTTCTCTTCTCCCTCTATACCACTTCACTTGTTGATCTCGTCAACTGCCATGGATCTAATTGCCATCTCTATGCTGATGATTCTCATATCTACCCATCTTGTTCCAAACTCTCTCTGATTGCATATCTCTCAAACTGCATTTCAGACATCTTGAACTGGGTATCTGGTAGACATCTTAAACTCAGCATGTCCAAAACAGAATTCATTATCTTTCCCCTTAATTCTCCCTCCCTCTTACCTTCTCTATTACTATGGAGGATAACACCATTCTCCTGGTTCCTTAGGCTCACAACCTAGGAGTCATCTTCAACGACCGCCCGTCTCTCACCCTCCCATATCCAATCTGTTGCCAAAGCCTGTCAATTTCACCTTTGCAACATCTCTGGAACATGCCCCCTTCTCTTTTCTGACATTGCCACCACTCTAGGGCCGGCTCTTATTACCTCATGCCTGGACTATTGTAATAGCCTGCCTCAAGTCTCTCCAGTTCATCCTCCATTCAGCCACTGAAGTGATTTTCCTAAAGCACTTGTGATTCCCCAACTCAATAAACTCCCTTTTGCCTCCAGTAAATTCCCTATGGCTCTTTCTGTTGCCTTCAGTATCAAATACAGAATGCTCTGGCATTCACAGCCCTTCATAATCTAGCCCCCTTCTATCTTTCCAATCTTACACTTTACTTTCTGCCATGTACTCTTTGATAAATACTCCTGGTTGTTCCATGAACAAGGCACAGCATCTCTCAGCTCCAAGTATTTTCTCTGGCTGTCCTTCATGCCTAGAACACTCTCCTCAATTCTGCCTACTGCCTCCCCTGGCTTCTTTTAAGTCTGAACTAAAATCCTATCTTCTTCAGGAAGCCTATCCCAAACCCTCTTAATTCTAGTGTCTGTCCTCTGTTATTTCCTATTTATCCTGCATATAGTATGTTTGTGTGTATTTTTTTTAATGTTTTCTCCATTAGATTGTGAACTCCTTGGGGGCAGGGACTGGCTTTTGCCTCCTTTTGTATCTCCAGCTCTTAGCATAGGACCTGGCACATAATAGGTACTTAATAAATGTTTTGACATCAAGGTGGTGCAGTTGATAAAGTGCTGGCCTGGAGTCAGAAAAGATCTTAGTTCAAATCCAGTCTCAAACAACTTACTAGCTGTGTGACCCTAGGCAAGTCACTTAACCCTATTTGCTTCAGTTTCCTCATCTGTAAAATGAGCTGGAAAAGGAAATGGCAAACCACTCCAGTACCTTTGCCAAGAAAACCCCAAATAGGGTCACAGAGTCAGACACATTCATGAAAAATGAATGAACAACAACAACAATAAATGTTTATTGATTATCAGTTCTTCCAGTGTCCTGATATGTCTTTCACCATAAGACTTGAAGTCAGAGGTCTAGAGCAGGAAAAGAACTCAACAGCTCTCAAGTCCAACCCCCCCATTTTAAAGATGAGGAAACAGAGGCCTTAGAGACATGAGGTGACTTGTTCCAGATCCAGAGTCCTCTTTACCGTAAGTCACTGAAAACCATTCTCATTAGATAAAATGGAAGTAAAATAGAGATTCTATTTTCTCTCCATCATCTTTTTATCATGATACCAACTCAGTCAAGAAACATTTATTAAGCATCTTCTATGTGTCAGGCACTGTGCTAAAGCACTGGGATACAAAGAAAGGGAAAAGACAGTTCCTACTTACAGTGGTCACAGTGGATCACTTTAACCTGCATTCACATTTATAGTTGAGTCACAACAGGGTGTTGGAAATCTCTCCCACTCTTTAGCTTCTAAGCTACTCAAAAGGCCCCTCCCACCACCACTCCCCTCCACCCAACCTCCTTTGGCTTAGCTAAGCTATATGTTCCACAAGTTGCCCTGTTTCCTTCCGGACCCATCAGAGCAATGTTTACACCTCATAAAGGAATCACATTCTGCACATTAATTGAGCTGGGTAGGGGGAAAGGAAATACTGTGCACCCCCTCCCCCCATGCAAACAACAGGGCTGTCCCTTTTTTCTTGCCTTGAAAAGAAAAACAAAAAAAACAGCCCTTTTTGTTATTCTTAATATTTTTTCTCTGCTCATGCTGACCTTTAGCCTCTTCTGAGACTATCCTTACAGGTCTGGGTCTTTCTTACCTAACTTTATTTGTTCTCGGCTATTTGCTCTTGTCTTCCATCTTTTATCCAGATCCTTTTGAGTTTGTTTGAACTCAAAGTAACTGCTCTCTGTGCAGCTACATTGGTTTCCTTTGATTCCTCCACTTTTTCCTCCTCACAGAAATAATATGTGATTGTATTCTAAGTATTTCATGTTGGGAAGCCTCCCATCTGTCTTGAGCCATTTTTCTCTTTTAGAACCTCAGGCCACGGGGCTTTTTCTATCTTGCTCCTGATCTTTTTGAAATCTTTTTTTCCCTAAAATCGAGGGCATACATGCCCAGCCTTCCCATCCTCGGATGCTATCTTCCCAATCCCTCCCATCTATCCTCCCACAGGGAAGAACCTGCCAACGAAAAAATGAAAATTGTGTCAGTTTAGAATTTAATATCTCTTGGAATCACATTTAGTGGGTGTATGAGGGAGGGACGGTTATCATTCAGTGGAAAGGTGGGGTTACCATTGAAATGCTGAAAGCACTAGAGTATGCTGACCCAGAAGAGCTGCGAACTATTGCTTCCTTTTCTATATCTTATATGAGATGGCTGGTGGGTTTGGTACTGACTCCTTCTTCTTCACCTCTGCCCAGATATCTGACAGGTCTTGGATGAACTCCTGGATCTGACAAAACAAGGGACAGAAAGAATAAGTTTTTCAGCCTGTGGCAGATTTCTCTGTTGTGAAACACCTACCTATACAAAGCTGCCTCCATCCCATATGGATCATCTTCTCATGGCCTAAAATAAATGAAGTTTCTTTCTTTCTTTAAGGCAATTGGGGTTAAGTGACTTGCCCAGGGTCACACAGCTAGTAAGTGTCAAGTGTTTGGTCTGAGGCTGGATTTGAACTCAGGGTCTCCTGACTTCAAGGCCAGTGCTCTATCCACTGTGCCACCTAGCTGCCCCAGAGATGAAGTTTCTTTAGGTTTTAATTAGTTAGTTAGGTTGTCTGGTTCTAACTAATTAATGTCAGGTTCTCAGGTTCTAGTTAATGTCTAGGTCTTTGTAGAATCTGTGAGGGGTGAAATGTAGGTCCCACTGCTTCAAAATATCCTAACTGCTCTGTAGTTGAATGAACAGCATGAAAAGGATTAGTGAAAGGATGAAATTACAATGACAGTACAATAATAGTTACTTAAATCGTTATGATTATTATAGTCAGCTGTTCAGAACACAGCTAAACTATATAGAAAAAGATGGTAAAAAAAGTTTCTGAGCAGCTAAAATAGTTGTCACAAAGCAAATGCACAAAATTTCCCCCTATTTTACTCATTAGAATAGTTGCCAGTCAAAATGATTGAAGCTTTGAAAGACTGAAACAGTCCTTCATAGGGATTCACTTTCTGTCCTAGGGAGGCACATTTGCACTTGATACTTTGCATTTGCTTACACTTCTGACCAAGGCCAAAGGTCTTTTCTCCAAATAAAACTTTGTGTTTTGGGCCTCTTCTAGCTCTGATTTTGCGATTTTGACTTTGTGAGGATAATCAGTCTTTATTTTAAAAGTATAACAGTGTTCCACACCATTATCTCCAGTCCAGCAAAAAAAGGAGGGAAGTTGATAATTGCTTTTCTCTGGATCAGACCATAAATATGTAGATTTATATTTAGCTCTGACAGGTACAACAGAAGATTGTTTTTAGAAACCTGTGATGAGAAATCCCAGGCTGTGGAGGTTTTATGAGTTGGATTTATGTGTACCCAGATACGATTAATGCCAACCCAAACTCAGGTGTTTTATAAACAGGTAGGAAATAGTAAAAGTCTGCTTGTCATGGTGCTGCAAATGCCCACCCTTTCCTGATCTCCTCCGGGACTACTGAATTAGGAACTCTGGATTATCCCCAGTGTCCATGACAAGGCCTGGTTCTTGTAACATAAGGAAGTCCCATGATTCTATCATCAGAAACCCCTGTTACCCTGTAAAGGGCTGTCCTTGTCTTCCTACCAGGTCCAGCTGTTTGTGGGTATCCTCCACGGCCACTTGTGTGGTGGTCTCCTTCAGCTGCTTGCTCACAATTTGGAAGAGGTTCAGAGTTGCCATCTTGATAGTGCCCAACAGGAGGGTTTTTTTGGCAGCCGTATTCTGGATGTGTGCCCATCGAGATTCCTGGAAGTAGAGAGGAGGAGAGCTAGTGAGGAAGGTGGACCAATGAATACTGAAGGCCCAGGGAGGAAGCAGGACTTGTCTAATCCTCAGATAACTCACTACCACAACCAGGCTGGTCAAGAGGCAGCCTGGACTCAGTAAACCTCCTCTTTGGGCTACTTTATGCTCCTTGAGAAAGACCTCATTCTGTCTGGGATGTCTGGGAGGCTGCACTGCCCAAAAGCCAGGAGATGAATGACTTCATCCCCCTCATTCACTCCCCTATTACCCTTTTTGTCAATGTGGGGAAGTCAAGGCCAGGAGGTACAAAGGCTTAAGGCAGGTCAACAGCTGCCATGATTACCTGATTCTACTGACAACAGAATGAGCATCTATATCTTTCTTCTCCTTGGAAGTTGGAATTATTATGTTCCAACCTTGAGTGGGCCAAATTCAAGAGTATAAGGTTATTGATACTGGGGTCATCATGATATTGGCACCCAAAGGGATGGGAGATACCACTTTCCTGAGTAAGTAGTGTGCTATAATGGAAAGGGCAGTGCATTTAGAGCTGGAAGACCTGGTTTCAAATCCCAGCTCTTCTACTTCTTAACTGTGTTATGTTGGGTGTCACTTCTCTCCTATGAGCCTCGTTTATAAAAAGAGACGATCTCTGAGCTCTCTTTCAGCTCTGATAATCCTCTGACATGAAGGACATCTTACCCAAATGATGACATCACTCCGGGCACGGTCATACCGCATCTGCAACCTGGCAAGCTCATTGTTATGCTGTAGGACCTCATCATCCTTTTCTTCCACGTAGTGGGTAAGCCGGGCCTTAGCCTTGTCAATCTTCTCCTGTCCCTCTTGGGCTGACTGCATCAGGTCATGGTGCATGCTCACCAGTGTCTTGTAGCGTCCAATAACCTCATGGATCTCTTCAAACTATAGCAGGTTGGAAGGGAATAGGGATCGTTGCCTTCCAGACCCATTTATTGGTCCTCTTTGAGAACAAAGGATGAAGAACAACAGACTTGACAGACCCAAGCCATTTGGATTAAGGAGAAGAGTGGTGGTGATACCATCTTACCTTGAAAAGATGGGGAGTGGGGAGGGGATTCTCATTTACCTCTCTCATTCTATCTGTTCCCATATTTGAGTCACTGAGAGTACCTAGTCTGGAGCTTCTAAGCTAAGAGGACTAAGGGCTCTGGGTTCTCTTTTTTTCCCTATCAAGTTAATCATGTCTCTGCCTGGGTGGTGAGCTAGGCTCACCCTGGAGCCTCTAAGTTGAGAGGACTGAGGGTTCTCTTTTTTTTTCTCTTAAGCTAATCATGCCCCTGCTTGGGTAGTGAGTTGGGCCCACCCTAGAAGGCTCCAATCAACACAGAAGGCCACAGGTTAGGTTATCATACATATGTGTTTCAATGTATGCACTAGTCTAGATTCTCCTTCTTACCTTCTTTTCTTCTCTACCTTACTCACATTCTTTGCCACTAGTCCTAAAAAGTGGGAATGGCCTAGGATGAGGCTGTTAACAAGGATGCACTGTGGAGGTGAGGGAAACAGAGTCAGAAAACCCAAATTTGGCACTGATAGCTACTAGCTATATGACCCTGTGCAGTGCAATCATTTCACTCTCAGCCTCAGTTTCTTGCTCTGTAATACAAAGATAATACTACACTATTGAACCAGTGGGAGAGAATGTAAATGAGGTAGAGATGAGGAGGGTAAGAAGGAGAATCTAGACTTGTACACACACTGAAAGTAACCCAATTGATGGCCCTTCTGTGTTGACTGGAGCCTTCTGGGGCCAGGCCAACTCACTACCCCAGCAGGGGCATGATTAGCTTGAGAGGGAGAAAAGAAAAACCCTCGGTCCTCTCAGCTAGAGGCTCCAGGCTGGGTACCCTCAGTGCACAAGGGTACACCAACTTACACTTTGGCCATTATCTTCATCTGCTTCCCCACACCCACCCTTATCTTCAGGAGTCTTCTCCTGGAACTACCGTTGGCTCTGAGAGGTTACTAATCCCAAATCCATTTCTCACTTTATCTTGCCAGGAACTAGGGCCCAACCTCATTTCCTAGTGACTTGATCCAAACCATGCCCCTACAAGGGTGTACCTCCCCCACAGCCCAGCTTCTCTTATTGTTGGTTGCGTATTCTCTTTCTCCTATTAGAATGAGTGCTTTTCGAGGAGAGGAACTGTCTTGCTTGCTTGTATTTGTACCCCCAGTACTTTGCACAGTGCCTGGCATATAGTAAATGCTGAGGAAATATGCTTGCTCTGGCTCTCTGTCTCTGCCTCTGTCATAGGATTTTAGAATGGAGTCAGAGTCTATATCCCCCTTCCCCTTCCCCAATGACCTTATAAATAACATAAGGTGTTTATAGGTGCTAGAGTCAGGAGACTCAATTCTCAGTCCTAGCTTTGCTACTTATTAGCTCTATTACTTTGGGCAAGTCCATAACTTTCTCTGGACCTCTGACTGAAACAGGTGATCTTTAAGGGTCTATTCAGAATGGACATTCTTTTAATATAATGCTTATGTTAGAATTCTGGGCACTAGGGACAGAATTTATTGGGGTTTTTTTTTCCAGGCAATTGGGGTTAAGTGACTTGCCCAGGGTCACACAGTTAGTAAATGTTGAGTGTTTGGTCTGAGGTCACATTTGAACTCAGGTCCTCCTGACTTCAGGGCCAGTGCTCTATCCATTGCACCACCTAGCTGCCCCAACTAGGGAGAGAATTTGGAGGAGAAAATACTTTCCTTTTGGGAAGAGGAGCTGGGGGGGGCAGAGTGGGTAGAAGCTATCTAGTATTTAGTGCCATATTGATCTGAGTATAGGCAGTTCTTTTCCCCAAAACCTAATTTTTATAAAATAAGAGCATAGATTATAATTTTTTAAAAACCTTAGTTTTTTTTTTGAGGGAGAAGGGTTGCCTATCTTATAATTCAGAGGTCTCCAACATGAGAGTTCCAACTTCCTACGCATCTTTTGAAAATTTATTTTGGTATGTGTTCTATAATGTACTTAATATGTGAGAATAATGATACATGTATATGATATATAAGCAACAAGTAATTAAATAAATATGCATATAATGGTAATGTATGCTCCAGAACTTTTCTCCAAGATCCAGTGTCCACTGGATCTCCTGACATTATGGGAATATCAGTGGAATACATGAATTTCCCAAGGAAAACTTTTACCATGCTACCAGCCAAATCCTGCTCTCATTTCCATCTGTGGCCTAAGTTCCCCTGCTTCTCCAAGGCCCGCTGAAGATCTTAAGGGGCAACCTGTGTTACTGGGAATAAAAGTGGGGACACTCTAACCTGACATAGTAAGAAGCCCGAGGTACTCATGGTGTTGGGGCATCTAACATCAGCACTGGGTACTGTCCCCTAGTGTGAGAGGCTGATCAGCTGGAAAGAAACATCAGCTCCAACTTGCTCTCCCCCTGCACCCCAACCTGAGGAACACCTCAATTAGATCACTTACCTCAGAGTTCTCTACCACCTTCTCCAAGTACTTTTGGAATATAGAGTAGTCCTGCAATTTGGCACTGATCCTCTGATGCTCCTGTCTCAGGGCAGCCATCTCTTGCTTAGCCCTAGCCAGTTCCTTCACCCGAAGTCTCTTCAGTTCTCTCTCTTTGCTGGCCTTCTTCAGAGCTCGAATTCTTTTCTGATCATTTTCCTAGAGGAAGGCCCCAGAAGGACATGTGGGGAGCAGAGAGGGCATGGGGTCAAGCAGCTTTCTCTTGCTCCTGTGGCTGGCCTAGCAAGGGGCATAGCATGGGGATTATTAGAATATTAGAACTGGAAGGCACCTCTTTGGGTCAGCTAGTCAAGATTTCTGCTTGATATAGGTGGTCCTCACCCTCTTTTCTATAGCTTACCCCCAACAGGTGGTACTCCAGCCTTTCCTTGAATACCTCCAGAGATGGAGAATTCATAACATTGAACCTGAATCCTAAGAGGATTTCTATGGTCTCCATTGTATAGAGAGGTTCTCCGGTACCAAAATTCTTCTGTGAGATTTACTCATTTCCCAGCCAGGCGTAGAGTGGATCCACTTATCTATAAAAGACTGTTTTCCCCTGGGGACAGCTACGTCTTAGGTCCTCCCAATGACACTGCCAAGGCCATCATTTGGATTTTGCAGAACATCTTAAAAACATTGAGATAAAATTGTCCTGCTGACAATGGGGGAATTTGAGGCACAGAAAATTTGAGAGGTCACAGCAACTTCCTTAGGTTCTTAGGATTTTGGAGCTGGGAAGGAGGTTTAGATTTATTTAGAGATCATTTAGTTCAAACTCTTCATTTCACAAAAGAGAAAAACAGGCACAAAGAGGGGCAGTGATTTACCTAAGGTCATCATGCTCCAAATTGCTGCGGATCGAGGGGCCCCAGATTGGTTAATTAGATGTGATGATATAAAATGTAAATGTGTGTAGGGGTTAATTATATTGAAAAGTAGTTTGGGAAATTTCTGTGGGTAGAATGTTTGTCACATTATGGATAGTCAGGACAGACTGTGTGATCATGGAAAAAGTATAGGAAATAATTGATAGACCTGAATCTAAGTATTGGTTTGCTATTTACTGGCTAGGTGACCTTGAGCAAGTAACTTTCTCTCTCTTGGCCTCAGTTTTTTCCTTTGTAAAGTAAGAGAGGGCAGCCGACTCTAAGATCTCTGAAGTCTTTTCCAGCTCTGAAATTGTAGAGTTCTTTATTCTAGGTACAGGTTGCTTTCTCCATTCCCATTCTGGAAACATTGCTTGGACTTTGAGGAGATGAGGCAAGAAGGAGACCAGGCTCCTCAAAGGCTGTAGCAAATATTTCCTCAGAGTGAGGCTGCTTGGATGGAAATGCGTATGAGAAGAAAACACTCTAGTGCTCTCCCCAGGAACATTCATCAGATAATGGATACCCTTCCCCATCATCTCCACTACATCACCCAAGGTGAATGGGCCAGCACTCTGGGGCCTACACTTTTGGGGGAGAAGGGGCTGTGCATTGCATACACACTATTGCTTTGCCACCTCTTTACTCCTATAATGTTGGTCTATAGATCACAGGATCATAGATTGAGAACTGGAAGTGACCGTAGAGACCACTGAGTCTTGGAGGCCACTGAGTTTAGTCCTCTCTTTTTATAGATGAGCCCCAAAGAAGTTAAATGAGTTGCAAAAAAGTCACACAGGTAGTAAGAAGAATGGCTGAAATTTGAACCCAGATCTTTCCACTGTACCCAATGGTTGTATCTCCATCCAACCTACCTTGGTCCTACCTCCATCTTTTCTTTCAGGTCAAGTACAAGCAGAAGAAAGGATGCTCATAAAATGACTGGCTTATTTTCAGCAAGAACAGGACGTAATTAAACCTTGAGGCTGAATCCTAAGGGGCCCAAATAAGTGACCACAATTGCTCCTTTCAAATAAATCAATCTGTATACTATTTCCGTACTTCAACAGACATGTAATTTCATCCATGTGGTCACCACTTCTGATGGTACAAATAACAGCCCAGTTGAGCCTTTTGGTTCTGTATGACTCTTGTCCATGTCCTTCTATAAATCCTCCTTTGGGGGCCCCTCCAATATGCTTGAGTGTATCCACTGGATCTCCTGACATTATGGGAATATCAGTGGAGCACATGAACTACCATCTGTTATCCTTCACTCTAACTACATGACCAGTTTACTGCACTTTCCTGTTATACTCCTCTCTGTGGCGTAATCAGTACCTATTCTGCAATTAGCCTTAGGGAAGTTGCTGTGGTCTCTGAGAGTTTAAGTTACTCACCCAGGGTCACACAGTCAGTAGGTGACAGAGGCAGTACTTGGGCTTAGGTCTTATTGGCTTTTTATCTACTATGTTACACCACTTCTCCAAAGAAGAATGTGGATATTAAGAGGTGGACATTTATTTCAGAGAGAAGCTCATGGGTCACTATTGCTCAGGTTTTTTTCTATCTTTAGTGGACAATAAAAATATATATGTACTGGGAGCTCAATGGGTTGGACGTCCAAATGCATATTGTAGTTTGGACAACAGGCACTTTTTCTCCATTTGTTTCTTCCTGTATGGAGGTGGATGGGCTGTGCCATATGGATGTGCTCATCCATAGATGAGCCCCCAAAACTTGCAAAGGGTCATGCAGGTAATGAGTAGTTCAGTCAGACTGAGCTCTTTTGAATGATTGTGGATGTCATTTAGGAGGCTCTACAGCATTCTGAGGCTTGAGGCAAAATATAATCTATAATTACATATATATATATATATGTGTGTGTGTATATCTATCTGAATGAAATAGCATCATCTGGAAGATTTCATTATCTATATGGGCAATACTGCCATCTTTTGAACTCGGCACTAGACATCCTCCATGACAATGGCAAACACCATTAGTATATGACTTCTGATTTTATGTCTCATTTAATATTAATGAAAAGGTTGTTGGAAAAAATTATGTCGTGGCATTTATCAAGGACTCTTGCATATTTTAACATATGTAGGGAAGAAAACTTTTTAGAGGAGAACCTTTGAGGCAACATAAAATGAATTTAGAATTAAAAAACAAAAGAAGTACAGTGGGATCTTGTATCCTCTACACTTCAACTGTGTCAATGAAAAAATGTGGTCTGTTGTATAATAACATTTTTGAAAATCTCCTTGATTCTTTCTCAGACTCTTACCTAGGACGCCCTCCATTCTAAAGAGATGGGTAACGATATGGGTCAGTATTTAATGATACTTTCTCAATTGCTCTTTTTCCATAATAAGGTTTGTGATTTCTCCCCTGCCCCAAGCCTTTGGCATCCTATTTTTCAAATTCTCAAGAAAATCAATCTTTCAATGCCCTGAGAAGGGTGTCACTTCTTCTGCCTATGCTTGGTCTATTCCAGCTTCTCTTCCTGTCAATGTTCTCTATAGTATCATTTCTACCTAATACAAGCCAAGCAGAAAATGGGACCATCAAACATTGTGATAAAAGCACAAATATGGTGGCTCTGTTGTCATTTACTGAAAAAAAAATAGTTGGTTATAGAAATCTTGGCAGAGCTTTTCAGTTTGTCTGTTTTTTTTTTCTTTTAGTAAATTCATTCTCTTACCAATCTTTCTATAAACTTATTTTGTCCTCTCCTTTCTCTCTGTTTTTTGAGGTGCTATTGCTCATAATCTTCCACCCTCCTATAAGATTTTACAAATGAACTTATATTCTAAACCAGTGTTGCCTGTGGTTGCTTTATCCTTCTTCTTGGCAAAGAAATTAAAAGTGTCTGTTATCTAAGGCAGTTTGTAGATTAATATGATCTGTTTGTGGTGACTGATTGAAATTGATTAAATTTTGTTAAGAAATTGAAATATGTGTCAATGTTTGTTCTTTTGTCTTTTTTGTCCCATTTTTTTGCACCAATAATTGGTTTAGGTAAGTCAGTTTTGAAGCTGCCTAAACTTCATGCCAAATCTTTCATTTTTATAATTTATCCTCATTAGGTATTGATTTTGATCTTTGCTCTAACAAATAATGGTGTGATTGTAGACAGACAGTTAATGTGGAAATGACTCCCATATTGGAAATAATTAATCTTCTTTCTGATAAGACATTATTGTGGTTTTATCTGGTATTTGTCATATCTATCTAGTGCCTTCTAATTCTTTTCTTTAAGAAAGGATTCATAATATATTGGTGTCAGGGTTCAATATCATCTACAAACCTATAATCTCTCTCATTTACCTTTAATTTCTCTAATGGCTCAATCTTAAGGCAAATTTTTGCCATACTTCCCTATATTACCTTTGCATTGGAGATATTTTAATTGGAGGGTTTTAATGAGTTTTACCTAAATTTTCTCTATCTCCTCATCCTCTACAACATAAACTGCAATTATTTACATGGGAGTCTTTTTGCTTTTTGTTCACAATTGAGTACTGTAATAAGAGATGACTAAGCAACCCATGAAATTATGTTCCTTTGGATTTAAAAACCAATTCCACCAACTCTTTTATTTGCTCCGTGAATACAACTTCCTTATATCTTCTGTTTTCTTTTCTAGCAAGATTAGAAAGATTGTTATGATTAACTCCCTCTAAATAAGGTCATCATTGGTTACTGGATAAGAATCTCAAATTTAGAGTACTAACCAGTAAATCAGTATTTGCAGGTGGTCTAAAAACTGTGTGGTTCTTAGAATCCTCATCATTCAGCAAGGATTTATTAGCTGCCTAATGTGTACCATGCACTGTGTTAGGTGCTGCAGGTACAAAGACAAAATCAGCCTACCACCCATGAGCACAGACAAAGGTACACCAGGGTCCAGGAGATGACCCTATGCACTACCTTGGCAGTTAGTGAGAAATGGGAACATTACTCAGAGGACATGAACACAGGTCTTATTAAAACCATAAAGTGGCATTAATGAACCAGGCAGGTCAAGCTATCTATCAGTTCTGAGCTTGGAGCCCTATCCGCACAGCCTAAGGAACTCATTCCCACCTTTTTGTGTATGGGGGCTAAACTTCCCTAGCAACTCACTCTTCTTCTGGGGTGTGGCTTTCCTTTCAAACTATGTACACTCAATTCCAGGGAAACATATCAAAACAAAACAAAACAAAACAAAACAAAAACCTGCTGACCTCAGATTGCTCACCCACTTTCTGTGGCAATATTGCCTTGAATTTACTAGAAGTATCTTTCCAGGGATTCTTTTCTCTTCCCTCCTATTTCAAATAAACTCTCACTTCTATCAATTGTGTGGCTCCAAAACTCCAGCCAATTTACATTAACAAAACTCAAATTAAGTTTATGAAATGAGATCTCCTTCTTTTTGGGATTTGCCCCCTCTCGTTTCCAATTTCTCTGTATGCATTCAGTTAGAACTGACATGAATTCAATAACTATCTGGTTTCAATACAGTTTCAAACACATAAAAAGAAAACCAAGAGTACTGCTTCAAGAGCAATCAGTTCTAAATGTTTGCTACTCAGTCTGCAGCTAGAAAGGTTTTCTTTCCCCCTCCTCACCTTGTACTCTGCTGGGGCAAGCAACAGCAAGGAATAGATGACGGCACATAGGAAGGATCACACTGGAGGAACTCCAAGGAGTCCCGATGGGCAGCTGTTCCTCTGGTCAGATGGCTACTAAGCACCATCTTCATTTACTGTCTTTTTCCTGTATCATAATGCCTCTGGCCCGTAGGGTTCCTTTAGCTCTGGTCAGAGGACTCACTTGGCTTGTGGCTTGACCACACACCTAAAAGTCTTGGCCCTTAGTGAATTTTCTACTACCACCATGCTCTATTTTTGAAGGTCAAAATCTCTGTCTCCCCCAACTGAAGAAAGCTCTGTCCACTTTCCTAGAACCAGAAGAAACCAGATGAATCCTCTACCTAGCTGACAGATCTTCAATCTCCATTGACTTCTGAGAGAAGACTTAGAGCTGAAAGGGACATTAGAAGCCATCGAGTCCAACCTCCTTATTTTACAGATGAACTGAACCCTTCACATGGGCTACAAGACTGTCCTATGGTCATATAAGGAGTAAGTATCAGGATTTGAACAGAGGTCTGACTCCTACTCCAAATCTCACTTTCCAACACATCACATTTCTTTCTAGCTCATCAACATCTCTTTAGATCCTAAATCCTTTATTTGTCAGCCGGTGTATTGGCTTTCACTCCCAGCTTTGTCTCATCTGCAGATTTGATAAGCACACCATCTAGTCCAATCCTCTAATTTACAGAGGAGAAAAAGATTTGAAATAATTTGTTCTTAAGTCACTTAATGTCTCTCAAGTTCAGTTTTCTCCTCTCTGCATTAGGGATAATAATGTGAACACAGCAAACTCCAAAGGCTTATTTCAGGAAAAGTGCTAAAAACAGACGGTTGTGATGAACAGAGGGCAGGCCATGGAGAAGTGGACCAGAGCAGCAGAGCTAGGCAGACTCTGTGGGGACTGAGTCAGATGAAGCAGCCAGGCCGAGAGATTACGTGTTGTCAGATGGCAAAAAGAACACAGAAGAGATCTTTTCCTTCTCGTTAACACCTTCCTTGTAACACTCTCTGCGGCCCTTATGTTTATTCCATACCACCTTGTGTGCATTATAGCTGTTTGTGTCCTCTCTTCCCAATTAAACTATAAACTTCTAGAGGAAGAAGAGTGTCCTGTTCTTTGCTGTAACTCCACAATGCCTACCTAGCACAAGGCCCTTCCTACACTCAGTATTTATACTCAGGTACTCAGTAATTATTTGTTGAAATGTTTGCTAGGGTCCTATTTTATAAAAGACACTATGTTAGATCCTAGGGATACAAAGTTGAAAAAAAAACCACCTTTTGCCCTCAAGGAACATAGATTCTAGTGTGAGGAAAGAAATGTGTACAGAAATAACTACATCAGAAATGTACTAAGTATTTGGGAGACATACAACTATAGCATTACGGAAAATTGGAAGGGTTGGCTCTTGCCTGGGTTGTGGCTGGGGGAAGGTTTTATAGAAGGTACCTCAGCTGAGCCTTGTTGAAAGCAGGACTTCATTAGATAGAGGCTGCAGGAGGGAGTCCATTCCAGACATGGGGGACCATGTGAGCAAAGTAATTCAGTTTTAAAAGGTTAAGATGAGAATTGGCAGTAGTAGATCAGACTGTTTGGAACAGAATTCATTTAAGGTCTGTATTGTGAAATAAACCTAGAAAAGTCAGCTGGAGTCAGATGGTGAATGGCTTTGAATGCCAGGGTCAGGAGGCATAGGCTTTGTTCTAGAGGCACAAGGTGGCCATACAAGGTTTTTGGGCAGAGAGTCGAGGTGATGAATGAGTGTATGTGAAGTAGGGGGGTTGTAGCTGCTTAGATTCTTATCCATACCTGTATAAACTGTTCAAACTTCTTTATATGAGCCTTTAGCTGTGCCTCCTTGGCCCCAAGTTCCTCCCAGCGCAGATTCAGGGCCTCCATTCTCCTTTTAAATGTCTATGAGACCATATGAAAAAAGTCAGCAGAACCTCCTACTCGGGCTCATGGCCGTAAGCAGCCAAATGTTCTCTAGGGCTCTACGTCCCACACAATCCTTGCAGATTCAGCAACTGTCTCCTTGTTAAAGCCTTAAACTGCTACCAATTTCCTACCCTTGAGCATGGAGCCCCTATACCAGGATTAATCTGAAGCTACAAGGATTTGTCTGTATTCTAGGTGGTGATGGGGTTTGAGGGAGGCAAAGGGGTTGGCTCCCTTCTCTTCTTTCATGAAGGTGAACAGGCCAAGACTCCCGTAGTTGAGGGCTTCTGTCTGCCATCCCTGCTGGAATCTGGACCCATTTCAATAAAGCTTCCTCCTTTCCCTTCCACATCCCATTCTACACACACACACACACAGAGTAGGACAGCACCCTTTTTCCTATGCATTGCCACTTTGCCCTCTCTCTTCTCACTCAGCTTCTTTCTCTTGACTCCTCACCATGCCCCCTCTTTGGCATCACCTCACCTCCTTTTTTTCCTCCATGGCTTGATGCATCACTTTGGCCTCTTTCTTTTTCTCTAGGAGCCGGATGGATGGAGATGGTGACTGCTCCTCTGTTGATGGGAACTTCCTGTTGCAAAGGTACCAGAAATAAAGTATAACTGCTTCTGAAGGGCCTGATGGAAACTAAATGCACACACTGTAGAAAAACTAGGAAGTCCTGGATGAGGTAGTAATTCTGAGAGTCAGATACCCTCACTCTTATATCTATCATCCTTATCCTTCCCACCAGATCAGCCAAAGAAATGGGGCAGAGGACGGCTTTGGAATGGTGTCTGAAGTTCAAGAAGAAAGAGCAGAGAGTAATGTGTGTGTGTGTGTGTGTGTGTGTGTGTGTGTGTGTGTGTGTGAGAGAGAGAGAGAGAGAGAAGACAGACAAGATAGCCAGACAGATGAAAGAGACAGACAGAGAGAAAAGAAATTACAGTTGTATGTGGGGAAGGGGCAAGGAATTACAATAACAAGATTTATATATATATAAATTTTTTATATATAAGCAATACACAATATATATGTGTATGTGTGTGCATATGTGTGTGTGTATATATATATATATATATATACACATACATATATATATGTAAGCAATACACAAGCAACATAAATCTTGCTGTAGGGAGTTTTGATTTTTTTTTTACCATAGCAAAATGCTTTCTACCCATCAGGAAAGCCTTGTATGAACTGGTGCAGAGTGAGATGAGCAGAGCCAAGAGAACCATTCATACTGTGACTACAGTGATGGAAAGAAAGACAACCTTGAATGACTTCAGAACACTCATCATCCCAGCGACTAGTCACATGACCTCAGAAGTTTGATGATGAGACTTTCCTCCCTTCTTGGCAAAGAGAGGCAGTGGATAAGACACACATTTTCAGGCATGGACCATATGTTTATTCGTCTTGCTGGAGTAGATACTTGTTATGATAGGGCTTCTATTTGGAAAGAAAGGAGTTAGTAGGTAGTGAGAGGGGTACAAAAACAAAAAGAAAAAATAGCATTAATAATACATTTAAAAATACTCAAAAGAAGACAGAAGGATGTTCCAAGGGAACACAAACAGAACAATTTCCTTATTGCCTTGTTAAATGTAACAGATGCTTTTGAAAAACAAATTGTACATAATAGAAGTTCATAACTTCACAATCTTCTTCCTTAACATATTAAAACATATTAAAATGGTTGTTTTATCAATAATTGTTAAGTTCAAAATATAAAGAAAATTTGTTTTCAATTTTTAAAATTTTATTAATTTATTTTGATTTATCAACAATCACTTCCATATGCTTTTGAGTTGAAAATTTTTCTCCCCCTTCCTCCTCACCACCCTCCCCAAGACGGAGCACAATCTCATATAGGCTATGTACCTTCCTATTAAACATATTTTCACATTAGTGAAGTTGTAAATAAAAATTAAAACCAATAGGAGGAACCATTAGAAAGAGGAAACAAAACTCAACAGAAGAGAGAAAAAAAACATGATAGCGATTCAACTTCCATAGTTCTTTCTTTGGATGTGGATAGCATTTTCCATCAAGGCCTCTGGAGATGTCTTAGATCCTTGTATGCTGAGAAGGGTTAAGTTTATCAATATTAGTCATTGCACAATGTGGCTATTATTGTGTACAAAGTTCTCTTGGTTCTACTCACTTCACTCAGCATCAGACCTTTCCAGGTTTTTCTGAAGTCATCATGTTCATCATTTCTTATAGCACAATAGTATTCCATTACATTCATATACCACAACTTGCTCAGCCATTCCCCAATTGATGGGCATCCTCTCAATTTCCAATTCTTTGCTACCACAAAAAGAGCTGCTATGAATATTTTTGTACATGTGGGTCCTTTTCCCATTTGTTTGATCTCTTTGGGATATAGCCCTAGAAGTGCTATTGCTGGATCAAAGGGTATGCCCTTTGGGCATAGTTCCAAATTGTTCTCCAAAATGGTTGGATCATTTCACAACTCCACCAACAATGTATTAGTGTTCCAATTTTCCCACATCTTCTCCAACATTTATCATTTTCCTGTTTTGTCATGTTGGCCAATCTGATAGGTGTGATGTGGTACCTCAGTTCAGAGTTGTTTTGATTTGCATTTCTCTAATCAATAATGATTTAGAGCATTTTTTCATATGACTATAGATGGCTTTAATTTCTTCATCTGAGAACTGTCTGTTCATATCCTTTGACCATTTATCAATTGGGGAATGGCTTGTGTTCTTATAAATTTGTCTTAATTCTCTATATATTTTAGAAATGAGGCCTTTATCAGAGAGACTGGTTGTAAAAATTCTTTCCCAATTTTCTACCTTCCTTCTAATCTTAGTTGCATTGGCTTTGTTTGTGCAAAAACTTTTCAATTTAATGTAATCAAAATTATCCATTTTGCTTTTCATATGTTCTCTATCTCCTGTTTGGTCATGAATTCTTCTGTTCTCCATAGATCTGATAGGTAAACTATTCCTTGTTCTCCCAGTTTACTTATGGTATCAGCCTTTATATCTAAGTCATGAACCCATTTTGACTTTATTTTGGTATATGGTGTGAGATTTGGGTCTATGCCTAGTTTCTGCCATACTCTTTTCCAGTTTTCCCAGCAGTTTTTTTCAAAGAGTGGGTTCTTATCCAGAAGCTGGGGTCTTTGGGTTTATCAAATAATAGATTACTATAGTCATTGACTACTGTGTCTTGCATATTTAACCTATTCCACTGATCCACCTCTATTTCTTAGCCAGTACCAAGCAGTTTTGATGATTGCTGCTTTATAATACAATTTAAGATCTGGAATTGCTAGGCCACCTTCCCCTGCATTTCTTTTCATTAGTTCCTTTGATATTCTGGACCTTTTGTTTTTCCAAATGAATCTTGTTATTATTTTTTCTAACTCTATAAAATAATTTTTGGTAGTTTGATTGGTATGGCACTGAATAAGTAAATTAGCTTAGGTAGGATTGTCATTTTTATTATATTAGCTCGGCCTACCCATGAGCAACTGATGTTTTTCCAATTATTTAGATCTGATTTTATTTGTGTGAAAAGTGTTTTGTAATTGTGTTCATAGAGTTCCTGGGTTTGTTTCGGGAGGTAGACTCCTAAATATTTTATAATGTCTACAGTAAGTTTAAATGGGATTTCTCTTTCTATCTCTTGCTGTTGGGCTTTGTTGGTAATATATAGAAATGCTGATGATTTATGTGGGTTTGTTTTATAGCCTGCAACTTTGCTAAAGTTGTTTATTATTTCAAGTAGTTTTTTTTACTTGATTCTCTAGGATTCTCTAAGTATATCATCATGTCATCTGCAAAGAGTGATAGCTTTGTTTCTTCTTTGCCTATTCTAATGCCTTCAATTTCTTTTTCTTCTCTTATTGCTAAAGCTAAGTTTCCAGTACAATATTGAATAACAGTGGTGATAATGGACATCCTTGTTTCACCCCGATCTTATTGGAAATGCTTCTAGCCTGTCCCCATTACATATAATGCTTGCTGAAGGTTTTAGATATGCTATTTATTATTTTAAGGAAGACTCCATTTATACCTATGCTTTCTAGTGTTTTTAATAGGAATGGGTGTTGTATTTTATCAAAAGCTTTTTCTGCATCTATTGAGATGATCATGTGGTTTCTGTTGGTTTTGGTGTTGATATGCTCAATGATGCTGATAGTTTTCCTAATATTGAACCAACCCTGCATTCCTGGTATAAATCCTACCTGGTCATAGTGTATTATTCTTGTGATAAGTTGCTGCAATCTATTTGCTAGTATTTTGTTTAAAATTTTTGCATCTATATTCATTAGAGAAATTGGTCTATAATTTTCTTTCTCTCTTTTTGACTCTTCCTGGTTTAGGTATCAACACATATTTGTATCATAAAAAGAATTTGGTAAGACTCCTTCTTCACCTATTTTCCCAAATAGTCTATATAGTATTGGAATTAATTGTTCTTTAAATGTTTGATAGAATTCACATGTAAATCCATCTGGCCCTGGAGATTTTTTCCTAGGGAGTTCATCAATGGCTTGTTCAATTTCTTTTTCTGAGATGGGGTTATTTAAGTATTTTACTTCCTCTTCTGTTAATCTGGGCAATTTATTTTTGTAAATATGTATCCATTTCACTAAGATTGTCAAATTTGTTGGCATATAGTTGGGCAAAATAATTCCTAATTAACCTCTTCCTTGGTGGTAGCTTCACCCTTTTCATTCTTGATACTAGTAATTTGGTTTTCTTCTTTTTTTTTAAATTAAATTAACCAAAGGTTTATCTATTTTATTGGTTTTTTCATAAAACCAGCTCTTAGTTTTATTTATTAGTTCAATAGTTTTCTTAATTTCAATTTTATTAATTTTTCCTTTGGTTTTCAATATTTCTAATTTGGTGTTTAGTTGAGGATTTTTAATTTGTTCTTTTTCTAGTTTTTTTAGTTGTATGCCCAATTCATTAATCTCCTCTTTTTCTATTTTATTTATGTAAGCATTTAGAGATATAAAACTTCCCCTAAGAACTGCTTTCGCTGCATCCCATAGTTTTGGTATGTTGTCTCATTATTGTCATTCTCTTGAATGAAATTATTGATTGTTTCTATGATTTGTTGTTTGACCCAATCATTTTTTAGGATTAGATTATTTAGTTTCCAATTATTTTTTAGTCTATCTTTCCATGGCCCTTTATTACATATAATTTTTATTGCATCATGATCTGAAAAGGATGCATTTAATATTTCTGCCTTTCTGCATTGGATTGTGAGGTTTTTATGCCCTAGTACATGGTCAATTTTTGTGTATGTGCCATGTACTGCGAGAAAAAAGTATATTCCTTTCTATCCCCATTCAGTTTTCTCCAGAGGTCTATCATACCTAACTTTTCTAATGTTCTATTCACCTCCTTAACTTCTTTCTTGTTTATTTTGTGGTTAGATTTATCTAGTGCAGAGAGGGGAGGTTCAGGTCCCCACTAGTATAGTTTTGCTGTCTATTTCTTCCTGTAACTCCCTGAACTTCTCCTCTAAGAATTTGGATGCTATACCATTTGGTGCATATATGTTTAGTAATGATATTACTTCATTGTCTATGGTGCCTTTTAGCAGGATGTAGTTTCCTTCCTTATCTCTTTTGATTAGATCTATTTTTGCTTTTGCTTTGTCTGAGATCAGGATTGCTACCCCTGCTTTTTTTACTTCAGCTGAAGCATAATATATTCTGCTCCAGCCTTTTACCTTTACCCTGTATGTGTCACTCTTTTTCAAATGTGTTTCCTGTAAACAACATATTGTAGGATTATGGTTTTTAATCCATTCTGCAATCCGTTTCTGTTTATGGGAGAGTTCATCCCATTCACATTCACAGTTATGATTACTATCTGTGTCTTTTTCTCCATCCTTTTTCCCCCCTATTTATGCTTTTCTTTCTCCTTTTTCCTTTCCCCCTTCACTAGTGTTTTGCTTTTGACCACCGCCTCCTTCAGTCCCTCCCCCCTTTTATTATCCCTTTCCCTTTTCTTCCCCTTTACTCTTACTGCTTCTTCCCTCCCTTCTTTCCCCCCTCCCTTTTTCCCCCTCCCTTTTCTTTCCCCTTTTCCCTCCTACTGCCTATAGGGCAAGTTAGATTTCTATACCTAACTGATTATGTTATGCCCTTCTTGAGCCAAATCTGATGAGAGTAAGGTTCAAACAATGCACCCCCCTCCCTTCTTTCCCTCTGCTGTAATAGGATTTTGTGTCTTTTCCTGTAATGTAATTTACCCTTGTCTGCCTCCTTTCTCAGTACATTTTCTAAGATCAGATTGATCCACTTATTTGGATCCATTTAACCCACTTGATTAGATTTTTTTTTATCATTACATCAAAGTCAACTAATATCCACCCTCTTTATGTATACTCCTTTAACATGGTGTAATAACAATACAGTTCTCAAGGGTTGCAAGTGTCATATTCCCTTGTAGGGGTAAACAGCCCCCTTATTAACAACATATTGTATCTTTCTGTCCCATTTACCTTTTTATGTCTTCTTGAGTCCTGTACTTGAAGATCAAATTTTTTGTTGAGCTCTGGTCTTTTTATCAGGAAAGTTTGGAAGTCTCCTATTTCATTGAATATCCATCTCCTCCCTTGAAAAATGATGCTCATTTTTGCTGGGTAATTGATCCTTGGCTGCATTCCAAGCTCCTTTGCCTTATGGAATATCATGTTCCATGCCCTGCGTCTTTTAATGTAGAAGCTGCAAGGTCCTGTGTAATCCTGACTGTGGTTCCATGATATTTAAATTGTTTCTTTCTGGCTGCTTGCAGCACCTTCTCTTTCATCTGGTAATTTTGGAATTTTGCTATTATATTCCTTGGTGTTGTCAATTTGGGATCTCTTTCAGGTGGTGATCGGTATTCTTTCTATGGTTATTTTTCTTCTGGTTCTAGATTTTCCTGAAAGATACTGTCCAGGCTCTTTTTTTATCATGATTTTCAGGTAGTCCAATAATTTTTAAATTGTCTCTCCTGAATCGATTTTCCAGGTCGGTTGTTTTACTGATGAGGTATTTTATTTTCATCTATTTTTTCATTTTTTTGTTTCTGTTTGACTGATTCTTGCTCTCTCATAGAGACATTAGTTTCCATTTGTCCAATTCTAGTTTTTAACAGATTGTTTTCTTCTGTTAGTTTTTGTACTTCCTTCTTCAATTGGCCAATTGTGTTTTTTAGGGACTTGTTTTCTTCAGTGCATTTTTTTTCCAATTGGCCAATTGTATTTTTGAAGGACTCTTCTACCTCTCTCATTTGACTATTAATATCCTTCTTGAGCTCTTCTAAGAAGGCTTTTTGGGCTTCAGACCAGTTCATATTCCCTTTTGTTGTTGCAGATGTGGGTTTGTTGACAATGTTGTCCTCTTCAGAATTTCTGTCTTGATCTTCACTCTTCTCATAATATGAATCTATGGTATGTTTCTTTTTACTCATGGTGTTTCTTTATTCCCTGGCCTTTAAAGAGATTGAGCTCTCCTGCTGGGGAACAGAGGGCACTGACCCAAGCTTCTTGTGTTGGGAGCCTAGGTCTTGGTCACTGGCTTTGTGTGCTGGGGCCTCTTATGTGGCAATTGGAGGCTGTAGGTTTCTGGCAGCTTACCTTTGGGCTGGAATCAGCAAGGCTGGAACTTTCAGGCAATTCTAGGTTGCCTGCTTTTCCTTTCCTTTAGCTTTCTTCAGCTTCTTTTAGATGGGTGCTGCAGGGTGTTTATCTGCCTGGGGCCCCCTGCAGTGTTGTCTCCCTTGTTTCTGCTAATGCACTGGGAGATTCCTTTGTGGTAGAGTGCTGAGGCACCTGGTGGTTTTCTGAGCTGGTTTCCACTGGTTCCCCCCCTCACTGAGGCACTCGGAGGTCCAGGTGTTGGTGTTTGCCTGTTCTACCACCTGGGCTTCAGGATTCTTCACTGGTTGCAGGCTGCAGGTCTGAAGCTCACCTGGTGTTGGGTGGAATCAGCAAGGCTAGGCTTTAGGTTGCTTTTTTCACCTCCTTTCAGATGGGTACTTATCTGCCTGGGGCCCTTGTAGTTCTGCCTCCCTTATTTTTGCTGAGATACTGGGAGACCCATTTGCTGGGTTGCTGCACTGCTGCTCCCTGTCTTTCTTCTAGTTCAGCTGTTCCAGGGTGTTTTTTTCTGGGGTGATATTTTCTGGGTTTTCAGAGGTTGATAGGGGAGAGTGAGAGTGACAACCTTTTCACTCCGCCATCTTGGCTCCTGGAAGCGGAACTCTCTAAAAAAAATTTTTTTTAAAGAGAACTGGGAGAGGGGGGAGAAAGTACCAACATGGACAGATTTTATTTTTATTTTACAGATGAGAAATCTGATACTCAAGAGAGGGGAAGTTACTGTACAGATAACAATCAGTAGAGACATGACTAGAGTATCTCCTAACCTGTACTCTAGGGTTCATTCTACCACCACAGACTGCCTGCTGGGAATGCCTGGGAGGCCGGCTATCTTGGAGGTGATGAGGTATGCCAAGAACCAAGGATTTTGAGGATGGGGGGAGGGGGGTTTGTCTGTGACTTACATTAGCAACTCCAGCAGCCGTTCCCCATACTGCAGGCGGAAGTACTCCGCCAGGTCTTCTTCTTCCATGATTCCCAGACTCATGATTGCTGATGCTCAGGGGCTAGACCAATCCTCAGGTAATATCTGTGGGAAAAACCCAAGGCCAAGAAAGGAAATTTTTCTGCTTAGATACTGGACTCTTGTTTCTAGATCCTCCTAATCTGGCTTACAAGACCTTGCAATAAGTGATTACTTTAGAAAGCCAGTTAAAGGGGTCCCAAAACAGTTGATAGTCTACTCTGGTATACTTTAGATCACTGGTCCTCAGTCAGAAGATACAGGGGATGGGGAGGTGGTTCAGGAAAGGAGAGGTTGCTTAGTAACAACTAACAGCCATGGTTCTATGTGGTGGTACGTGGAATCTGTCTCCCTTATCCTTTGACCTTTTACCCTTGCCCTCAGCCAATTCAGATCCTACCTTCTCTCTTTAGCTCATTTTAGCCCCTCCCTGGCTCCCCTTTTTCTCTCCTGATCCTGCCCTGAACTTTTGGGAACACTGAATGATAATAACCAAGGTTGTGGAAAAGGCAATGAGAGAAGGCCCTCTTATTCTTGGTATCTGGTTTCAGCCCTATATGCCCACAACCAAACCAGAGTAGTCATCAAGAGACTTGAGACCTAGAAAGGCCTGCTGGTGGGGAAGGGGACCAGAGTGGTGCCTGTGTGGTCTCTCTTCTAGAGTGGAGCAGTTCTTAGTCCTCTTCCTCACCCTCTTAGAATCCCTACTTTCCTTCAAAACTCAGCTCAAGCCAGGTTCCCTCCTATATGAAACCTTTCCTGATCACCCCAGTTACTAGTCATTCTTCCACCAAAATTATCATGTAAATATCTCCTTTATATACATTTTGAATATAATTATATATGCACAGAAGAACAGAAGGTGTTTCTGGACAAAATACAGGGACAAAGTGTTCAGGCTTTGCTCTTGACAGATATGCGTAATAAAAACAGGGATTTGTGCTAAGTAGGTGGAGAACACTATGTTTCCCTTCTGTTCTGACTCAAACTCATTTATAGTTAAGCCAGAGAAGATTTGAGGAGTGTGTATGATTACAGGGATCCTAAATTAGTTATCTCTAAAAGATCTTTAATTTTTAAATTATCAAGCATTTTTTTTCCCATTTCCCACCTCTCAGAGGAAAAAAAAAGAAGAAAAAGAAAATCATTGTAACAAAAAAGCTTAGTCAAGCAAAACAAGTTCCTGTCATTCTGCATATTAGTCCATCAACTCTGTCAGGAGGTGAGATAACATTCTTCATCACTTATCTTCTGAAATGGTTGATCAGAGTTCTTAGGTCTTTCAAAATAGGTCATTTTTACAATTTTGATGTTCTAGTGTAAATCATTCTCATGGTTCTTCTCACTTCACTCTGTATCGGTTTATACAAGTCTTCTCAAGGTTTCCCAAAAGCATCACTTTCTTAATTTCTTACTGCATATTACTGGAATACAATAGCATTCCATTATATTCATATACCACAATTTGTTCAGCCACTCTCCAATTAATGGTCACCCCATTAGTTTATAATTCTTTACCACTACAAAAAGAGTTGCTATAAATTTTTTTGTACATAAAGGACCTTTTCCTTTTCCTTTGATCTCTTTGGAGCATAGACCTAGTGGTAGTATCTCTGAGTCAAAGAGCATACCATTTCTAGGTCTATGCCCCAAGAGTAATTTTGGGAGCATAGTTCCAAAATACTTTCCAAAATGGCTGTACCAATGCATCTAACAGCCCTAACCACAATGCATCAAATGTACCTGTTTTGCCTTAGCCCTTTCCTTTTTTTTTTTGTCATTTAAAGGTGAGTTCACCCTCACTCACATTTATAATTGTGAATGTTAATTATGTATTTCTCTTCATCCTGTTTTTTTCTTTTTAGATCCCCACCCCTTCTTTTTCACAAGTTCTTATCCTTTCTTTCCTTTTAAACCCCTATTCATGATTTCTCCTCTGAGCTTTGGTTTATTTTGATTAATCCCTCTCTGAATCTACCCTCCCTGTTTCCTGCTATTTTCCAGTTAAGTTGAATTCTTTGTGTATGCATGACTGTGTATGTATGAGATTAATTTAGATGAAAGTTAGATTCAAGTAATTCCTAATCCCTCCATCTCTACCTTGTTTGCAAATTCTATTTGTACACCCTGATTGTGTGAGATTTTTCCTCCTCCTTTCTCCCCCCTTTTTCCCCTAGTGTTTCCCTTTCCCTTCCTCTTCTTTTAAGAGCAACAAAATATACCTATATCACTCTTAGGCCTTCTGTCTTATTTGACTCTATGACCCCTGAGAGTTCTGCGGGACACTTGTATCATTTCCCCCCCCATTAGAATGTAAACACTTTATCTTTAAAAAGCTCCTTCTAATTGCTCACTTGTGTTTATCTTTTAATGTTTCTCTTGACTCCTGTGTTTATATTTCAAAATTCCTACTCAGTTCTGGTCTTTTCAACAAGAATGCTAGGAAGTTGCCCATTTCAATGAAGGTATATTTTTCTACTGTGTCCATTTTTTCTTTGGGTAAATTATTTTTGGTTGTAGGCTTATATATTTTCCTATTTGGAATATTGTATTCCATACTTTCCAACTCTTTAGAGTGGTAGTTGCTAAATCTTGTGTGATATTGGCTGTGATTTCTTGGTACCAGAACTCGTTTCCTGGCTGTTCACAGTACTTTTTTTTTTTAAATCTGGAAGGTCTGGATTTCAGCTATGGCATTTCTGAGAGTTTTCATTTTGGAATTTCTTCTAGAAGTGATCAGCAGATTCTATCTTCACTTTACATTCTTGTTCTAATATGTCTGGGCAATTTTCTTTCTTAAAATATTGAAACATAAACTCTTTTTAAGTCATTGCTTTTAGGAGTCAATGACTTTTAAATGATCTCTCCTTGATCTGTTTTCAAGGTCAGTTTTTTTTTTATGGATAGTATCTTACATTTTCTTCTATTTTTTTCAATCTTTTGACATTGTCTTAATATGTTTTATTGTTTCATGGAATCATTAACTCTATTTGGTCTATCTGATTTTCTTTTTCAATTTTTTTTTTTCAGGAAACAAGTTTTTTTCATTACTCTGTCCTTCACATTATCCCTCATCCAGCAAATTAAGAAAACAAAAAACAAGTCTCTCACTATATATCTACGTAGACAAGCAAAATAAGTTCCCACATTATCCATATCCATCAATGTATATCTTTCTATGATAGCTACTGGGACCTAGCATGTCAGTCCGTCAACAATATTTATTAAGCTCTTACTATAAGCCAAGTGCTGGGAATACAAAGAAAAGCAAAAACCAGTCCCTGACCTCAAGGAGCTTATATTATGGAGGATACACCACATAAATAACTAGATACCTATAAGATATATACAGAGTAGATGAAAAGTAATCTCATAGGGAAAAGTACTAGCAGTCAGAGTGAAAAGCCTTGAGCATAGGGTGGGATTTGATTTGAGTCTTGAAGAAAGCCAGGGAAGCTAAGAAGAAGTAAAGCTCAGAGGGATCACCATTCCAGCATAGGGAAAGGCCCAGAGACAAGAGATGGAATGTTGTATTGGAGGATCAGCAAATAGGGTGATGTGGCAGCTAAATGGAGGATGAACTAGAGTAGGGAGAGACCTGAGGCAGTGAATCAAGACAGAAATCTGTTATTATAGTCCAAGCAAGGGTTGGCAATGGCCTAAACTAGGGTGGTAAAGAAAAAGTGATTATACAAGAGATATGCTGTGAAATTAGAAATAACGAGATTTGGCAGCTGATTGGATATATGGGATAAGAAGTCAAGGATAATAACATGGAGGTTACAATCCTGTGTAATTAGGAGGATAGGAGTACCCTTAGCAGTAACAGGGTAGTTCAGAAAAGGGGAAGGTTTGAGGGAAAAGATAAGTTCTGTTTTGGACAGGTTAAATTTTAGGCAGGTGGTGATCCTGGACTTTATCTCAGAAGACAGAGTAAATAGTGAGGGGAAGGTGGCAGAGAGATGTGAAGAGGAGAAGGTGAAAAGACAGGGCACTTGGTAAATGGCCTCAAGAAGTAGAGGTTCTTGGTGGAGACAGTGGGGGTTGATTGTGGTGTGGAAGTCCTGAAGTAAAAAGGAAATGTTTGGAATAGTTACTGTGGAGAAGAATAAGGAATTAACCAGAAAGGAGCAGTAGGATGTCATGGGTAGTTTTATAACTGAGGAAACAAAGTCTGAGCTCTGTGATTTATTGGCAAGGCATGCAATTGCAGAACAAATTCAATTCCAATTTCTCCAAAATTCCAATTGAAAGAACAATTTCAGAACAAATGAAGTAGTCCCCTCAGTAGGCACAAGTACCCTAAGAGAGATTTACAAGGGTTTTTGTAGTAAAGTTACTATTTTTAGCAGTTAATATTTTAAGATTTAGGAACTTTCCAGAGTTTAGGAGCTATGTTTGGTTGCATGTACCTGCGTCCTGCAGAACAATTAGTGGCACAATAATAAATTATTTCCCCCCAAATCATGTAACTTATAGGAAAACTAAACTTGAGAAAGTGAGATTTAGCTCCAGGAGCTGCACAAAATGTCAGTGATGATACAAAATGGAGTGGGTTTGGTTTTATCCATTACCCCATTTGATACCATGGGATCACTACCTATAAGCTAATTCTATAAGATTTTTAACATGGTCATGGTCAGTCAAGTGCAATAACATGAGCCTCTCTGGGACTAGACTAGAGCAGGCTTTAAAGCAGCAAAAAAAAAAAAATTATGAGTATAATTATAATTCTAAAACGAATGATAAAGCAGAGGGCAAGAAGGGCCCGTTTTCCAAGGGTGACTACCATGTCATTTTCTTGTAGTCAAGTGAACCAAGAAGAGGGATTCCTCTAAGGGCCATTGTTATAACTTGTTAAATTTTTTTTAAAAAATTTATTTATTTTGAATTTATGGAATAAAACAAGCATTTTTTTTTTGTGAGGCAGCTGGTGTTAAGTGACTTGCCCAGAGTCACACAGCTAGTAAGTGTTATGTGTCTGAAGCCAGATTTGAACTCAGGTCCTCCTGACTCCAGAGCCAGTGCTCTAGCCACTGTGCCACCTAGCTGCCCCAAAACAAGCA